GTGGGTGTGCAGGTGATTCCCTGATTGACTTAATGTCTCATTCCGAAGAAGGCAACAGTGCCAGGCACAGAACACAAAAGGTGATCATGCCACAGAGCCAGAGGGCCGGGTATCCACTCAAAAGGCTCATTTATTCACCTTTGCTTAGCCTTTGCATCTGTGGGAATCCTAGACCTCTGGACACACCTGGCCAGGTAAAGAGTGCAAAACAGCCCAACTGATAAAGGGATTGTCTATCTGTCACTCTCACACAAGAGGGATTCCATGTCTAGGCTGGGAGATCGCTAGAGGGAGGTTTACTGAGGGTAGAGGACTCTCCGTTCCCAGGGTTGGATGTACATAGAAGGGAAGGGGACCAGGGGCCTTCACCATACATTTGAGACACTAGGAATACAGCACACCCCAAAATATAATTCAATAAATTTGTGAAAGGTTTGGGGTTCCCTTGCCAGGTATCTCCTGAGGCTTTCGGGGGCTTCCAAATGGTGGAACTCTGTGCCCTGGGTCTCTCCCCGCATCCCCTTCCTCGCCTCCTGAGCACTCAGAGCCTGGCCAGGCCACGAGAGAAGGTCTCCTGGAAAGGGAGAGGCCTCTTCTCATCCAGAGGAAATCCCAGTCCTGGCCACGGAGTCTCTGGGTTTGGCATTCACTGAGATTTCACACTAACAACTATTGATATTCTGCATTTTGTAGCTGAAGGCTTTCATGGCCGGAATCTCTGTGTTGCTGTGAGTCTTCCGGGCTGCGTGGCCATGTTCCAGAAGCATTCCCGCCCACACCTCTCTATGGCAGGCATCCTCGGAGGGGTGAGGCCTGTGGGAAAGCAGGCAAATGGGGTTAATATAACTGTGGGAAGCCAGGCAGGAAGCAGCCAGGCTTTGGACCTGCAAGGCCATTCAATGGTAACGAAGGTGGTCAATGGAAACAGAGAAGAGTTCTTCTTTCTTCCTCCTGACGGCGAGCGCATCTTGTAGCCCCGCCTTTACATTAGTGTGAACTGCAGCAGGGAGTTCCGCAGTTCCTGGGCCAAGCTTTGAGGCCAGCAGATGGAATGCGCCCCAGCTGCTAGCTCCAAGACCAGGAATGCCTGCAACTCCAGGTAACTTCCCCTCTCCTTTGACTTTGTATCTTTCCCTAATAAAGTGCTTGAAACCTGAAACTTTCCGATGTAATTGATTTCTTCAATTGATCCATGGCAGTTTGACAATTTGGAGTCCAAATTACCTGGTTCGGGTTCTTCTTTTTGGTAAGATCCGAAAGAGGGGCCGCCAAATTACTAAAAGATGGGATAAATTTGCGATAGTATCCAGCCAATCCAAGGAATGCCCTAACCTGTTTTTTCGTTTTGGGCACTGGCCACTGGTGAATAACTGCCACTTTAGTAGGGTCAGGTCGAATATGACCTCCTCCCACTAAATGTCCTAAATACTTAGTAACATTGTATCCTATCTTACACTTAGAAGCCTTAATAGTTAACCCTGCTTCTCTCAACCTGCTTAACACCAGATCCAAATGTTCAAGGTGAGCTTCCCAGGAATCGCTGAAAATCCCTATATCATCGATATAGGCCACGCAAAAAGACCCCAGCCCACTTAAAACACTGTCTACTAATCTCTGAAATGTGGCTGGGCTATTTTTTAGCCCAAAAGGGAGGACAGAAAATTCAAATAACCGACTTTGGGTTCGGAAGGCGGTTTTGTGTCGATCCTGTGGTGCCATGGGCACTTGCCAGAATCCTTTAGTCAGATCTATACTACTAATAAAGTTGGCCTTCCCCATCCTTTCTAGCAGATCGTCTAAACGTGGCATAGGGTAAGTATCTGTCTGGGTTACTTTATTTAACCGCCTATAATCCACGCAAAATCTAATTGTCTTGTCTGGCTTCTGTACCAACACTATGGGTGAAGCCCAAGAGCTAACTGATGGAACAATAATACCTAGGTCCAACATTTCTTTAATCTCCTTTTCAATACACTCATTAATTCTCCCCGTGACCCTGTAGGGTGGAGATACTATGGGAGTTGCATCACCGGTGTTTATTTGATGCTGGACTCCCTGGACCTTTCCTGGCAAATCTGAAAATATGTCTTTATATTTACTCAAAACTTTCACAACCTCTCTTCTCTGTGGTTGGGACAATTCTATGTTCATTTCTACCCGATCCAAATTTTTGTACTGTTCACGATCACCCTCCCAAAAAGAAAAGGGACCGGATTCTTCCTCCGAAACAACAAAACATACATTAGCAGACCTTTCAACATAAGGCTTTAACATGTTTATATGGACTCTTCTTTCTACATTGGAATGTTCATCATAAATATCATAGTTTATTTGGTTGTGTTTTCTGATGATCTTCCAGGGTCCCGACCAATCCAATTGAAGTTTGTTGGTTTTGTTGGGAGATAAAAATAAAACTTCATCTCCGATGTTGAAGATCTTTGGTTTAGCAGTAGAATCATAATAGTCTTTTTGTCTCTGCTGAGCCGCAAGCAAATGTTCTTGTGCAATGTCCCTAGCCAGTTGCATTGTTGATTGAAGATCCTTTAAATACTCCGACACTGGAACTGGATCTGTTGCCGGACTTTCCTCCCAATATTCCTTTATCAGGTCTAATGGACCATGAGCTTTCCTTCCATATAGCAATTCAAATGGACTGTAGCCAGTACTGTCATGAGGGACGGTCCTGTAGGCGAATAACAGTTGTTGCAATTTGACGTCCCAGTCGTATGGCTTCTCTTGACTGTAAGACTTTATCATTTTGACTAAAGTCTTGTTCATATTTTCAACTAGTCCATTTGTCTGTGGATGATAAGCTGTTGAAGTCAGGTGTCTGATACCACATAACTCAAGCAATTTCGACATAAGTCTGGAAGTGAATTGGGTTCCCAAATCTGAAACCAATTCTCTAGGATAACCAGTTCTTCCCCAAATGGATAACAGTGCATTTGCAATCGTTGTTGTCTCGATGTTAGTTAGAGCTACAGCCTCTGGATATCTTGTGGCGTAGTCAATCATGGTTAAAATGTATCGGTAACCACGTCTGCTTGGTTTACAAAGAGGACCCACTATGTCAATGCCCACTCTGTAAAATGGTTCTCCAATTATTGGCATAGGGATCATAGGAGCTTTAATTTTATCCCTTCCAGTACTCAATCTTTGGCAGATGTCACAAGACTGGCAAAACTCTTTGATCTTCTGGAACACGCCAGGCCAATAAAAGTTCTTAGTGATTCTCTTTGTGGTTTTCCTCACACCCAAATGTCCACCTTGAGGGTTTTCGTGTGCCACCCTCATCAGCTGTTCTCTAAAACTTTGAGGCACTACAATTTGACTACTTGTCACTGATTCTTCTGTTGACTCCACATTCCTGGTTTTTCTATATAAAACACCATTCTTTAACACAAACTCGGAGGGCTGTTCTTTTGCCAATATTGTGGGGTTTTGAGCCAAAGCGAATAGAGGTTTAAGAGATTCATCGGCTCCTTGTTCCTGCCGAATTTCTTCAATTCCTCCCGTCTTCTTAACAAGCTCAGCAACCGTAGCGCTGGATTCCGGACTCTCCTCCCCATCCTGTTGTATGGCAAAACACATGGCTTTTTGATCATGGCTTTCGTTGTTATATTCTTCCTCTTCACACGTCATCCTCCAGCTTTCAATCTTCTTAGCCAAATCATTTCCAATTAAACATCTGTATGGTATGTCAGGACTGACTGCAAAATCCCACATACCCTTCCATCCTCCATATTCTATTGGCAAAGTCACTACTGCTGTTGGTATCGCAGGTCCTAAACCTTTTAATCTTATTTCAGAGGTAGGCCGCTGAAATTCCTGAGGTATTATTTCTGGATGCACTATACATACTTCAGAGCCTGTATCTCGAAGTCCTTTCATGTCTTTGTTGTTAATAGAAATGGTTTCTAAGTAATCTTTAGATGGGCTGCCTGACAAGATGAACAAACATTGTTTCTCTTGAGGCTCTGAATCTGAACTCTTCTTTGACACAGTATCTGGTTCTAGCCAGAGTGAACCAGAGGATTCTGGGATCGTTGGTTCCCAAGGCAAAGATGCTTCGATGCTAACAGAAAAAGGGGCCGAGGAAAAGGTTGAACGGCCAAGGCCAGATAGTGATAGTGAAAGGAATGTACTAATTGGCAAGCTGAGGGACGACCAGACACTCTTAATAATAATAACAACAACAACAACAACACTTTATTAGTACCCTGATACCATCTCCCCAAGGGACTCGGTGCGG